GGAAGAGTTCAATGATAATACCAACATGGGCCAGTGAAGCAACGTCCTCCACAACTAGACTGAAGAACAAAAGGACAGCAACTTGTCTGTTCCCCTTCTCCAATTCCCCAACTTTGTTCCCTCCCCCAATTCCCAAATAAAATCTTAAAAATGAAAAACATAGCATATTATATAATATTAGTGATATGAATATTATTTTGTGGACAAAAAAAAAGGGGGTTCTATAGAAAGTAACCTCACAGGGTGAGGTTATACCCCAGGCATACAACTTTTTAGTGACAGACCTAAAGCAAGCCTTGTCCAGTATTTCTATGCATCTAGGTTAACACATCTTTGAAATAAGCATTAACCACCCTCAAGGGACATAATCATGTTAACTTTCACACAATCTTCCTTAGGTTTCTTCTTTAATATCAAATGCATAAAACAATCTGCAAAACTGTTAATCTCTGGAGCATTTGAGATCTTTCTCCCCTGCCTATGTGGTCAGTTTGGCTCAAATAAACTCATAAAATTTTTCTACAGGCTTGGAATATCTTACATTGACAATTTGATCCCAAGGCTCTTAAATTTCGCTTTAGATCTTTAGATTGTAGGTGTAGTAGAATAAAATTGTATTGGAGTCTCTTAAACTAACTTTTTTAAAAGAAATAATTTCTAAGTTAACTGATATGCATTCTAATCCAGAATTAAAAGGAAATTTGTATTTGAGAATGAGTTAATGATTTGGATATTTCTAAATGAATCCATCCATAGTGCATAAAAGAAAGGCAACAAATATTTATGATGTCTCTATTATATACACTGTACTTAGTAAGAATAGGAGAAGCTACCTGACTTTAAGGGGTATAAAGTATAGTTAAGAAAAAAAAATAAAACAATGTAAGAAGGTAAATAATATTTCACTACTATAACAGCAGTGATATTACAAAAATGTATGTAACTGCAAAATTGATGTTTCAGCAATAATTGCACCTGAGGTATAAATGAAGAATCTTTTCCAGTTGGAGTGGTCAGGGTTTCTTTCTTTCTTTGTTTTTAATTAAGATAAGAACACAACATGAGATCTACCCTCTTAACAAATTTTAAGTGCACAATACATAATTTTTTTGTTGTTGACTATAGGTAAAACGCTGTGCAACAGACCTCTAGAGCAGCGGTTCTCAACCTTCCTAATGCAACGACCCCTTAATACAGTTCCTCATGTTGTGGTGACCCCCAACCATAAAATTATTTTCATTGCTACTCTATCACTGTAATTTTGCTACTGTTATGAATCGTAATGTAAATATCTTTTTGTTTTCCGATGGCCTTAGATGACCCCTGTGAAAGGGTCATTCAACCCCAAAAGGGGTCGCGACCCACAGGTTGAGAACCGCTGCTCTACAGCTTATTCACCTTGCTTGACTGAAACTCTATGCCTGGCTTCTGAATGGAGGAGGTGGGCCAGGAAGAAAAAAAAAATAGGCACTCCATGACTCCACTGGAGGGATCAAGAAGGTCATTCATAAATATACAAACACATTGCCTCATGAAGGCAAAATAGCACACAAGTTACCTTTGGCCGTATTTCTGAAGCAGAACTTTTACAACCTGCAAAGCAGGGAGAAAAATATTGGACTCCATCTCTTCCACAGACCGGATAATAATATGATCGTATGCAGTTACAATTGGCATTACAAGAAGTCGTCAAGTTTCCCAGGTCTCCTGTCCTGTCAACAAGGAATGAAAGATGGGCAAATTATCTGTGTTATCAGTTTTGATAAACAGTTCAGAAGCATTGTTACATCTTGTCATTTAGTCATTTATTCACTCACTCGACATATATTTAATTATTGAATGAAAAAACAAAGTCTGCCTTTTCACATAGAGCATAACTTCTTGTGGAAGAGAGAGGCAGTAGAAATAATAGTTATATAATACAGTGTTTGTCAGTGATAAGAAAAATAATCAGAGTAAGCAAATAAAACAGAGTTTCTCAGTTGATACCAGGTAACTCTTTTTGGTGGGGGCGAGGGACTGGTTTGTGGACTGTAGGCTGTTTAGCAGCATCCTGGCCTCCGCCCACTACATGCCAGTAGCACCCCCTTGGTTGTGACAACCAAAATGTCTCCATACATTGCCAAATTTCCCTGGGGGTACAGGTAAAATTTTAAACCTGGGAAGATGAATACAAACATGATGTTCAACGTATTCATTTTATCAATGGGAAAACTGAGTCCCAGAGAGACTAAGTTAACTACTTTACTTTCTTTGCCAAATATAATACTCCTAGTTCCCAGGCTCAGTGCTGTTCTATGCTGTCTCTTAAGAGGAGGCAACACTTTTGATAATATAAAGGGTTACCCTAAGCAAAGATACTTTTCCAATCCCTTATTCATTTATTCATTCAGCCAATATACTCGTATATTGAGCAAGTGCTAGACTCTGTGCTAGGTATTGGGAAAACAAAGCTGAAGAAGGTATTCACTATCCTCAAAGATTTCACAGTCTAGGAGTAGAGATGGACAGATGATTATACACTAATATGCTGAGTGTGGTTATATTGGGTTGTCGGAAAAGTCATGACATATCTATGTTTTTCATTGCAAAATTGTGTCATGACTTTTCTGAGAACCCAATAGATATCTACACAGTGTATTTGAGAAGCACTGGGGGATGACACTGAAAAGAAGCCAAGAGGGTCTCAAGGAACTACGACTGCCTGAGATGAGTCTTCAAGGATGAGTAAGAATTTACTGGGTAAATGAGGAAGATGAAGGGTACTTCAGAGAAGCTGGTACAAGGCATAAAGGTGAGAAATAGCATCCTATGTGGAGAAATGTGAATGCTGTCTGCAGCAGAGAATGTAGGGAATATAGTTAGAGAGGAGTCAGGGACCAGCTTGTTGGAGGCCCACATGGGCCTTGTTAAAAACAACGGGCTTTAACCTATTTTGAAAAGATAATCAAAGTATTTTTAGACTGGAAAATTATATTGTCAAAAGCACATTTTAAAGAAATATAATCCTAGGAGTTATACAGAGTATGAATTTGAAGGAAGGGAACCAGTTACAATAACCCAGACAATAAGTTATGATAATATATAGGATAAGTAAAATAGAACATTTAACTAAAGCAAACAGATTTGAGAAATACTTTGGATGTAGAATAAGTAAGATTTGGTGTTGGATTGATTGAAGATGGAAACAGGATGGAAGAGTCAAGAGTGACTCCTGGTGCCCAAGTTGGCATTTCGGTGAAGAAGAACTAGTTTTGGGAAAGAGATGATGGGTATGATTTTATATATACTAAGATTAAGAGTCTTGAATTTGGTGAGGAAATCTGGCATGGAGCTAGATAGCTTAACATCTATTTACATACACATGTAGCTGAAACCATGAGAATGATAAGGTCAGGGCCGGTCGAGTGGTTCAGTTGGTTAAGAGCTGGCTCAAGAGTGTGAGCTCTGAGCAACAGCAGTTCAATGCCCAGCCCGAGGTGAGCAGCTGCTGAGCTGCCAACAGGTGGCAGGATGGCTCAGCTTAAAAACAAACAAACAAACAAAAAAAACAATGATAAGGTCAACCATATAAGGAATGTAGAGCGACAAGTGTACAGAGGTCTTGGGAGTCTATTCATTTCATGAATACATAGTTGAACTCCAATTATGTGCTAGATTCAAAGCAATGGAAATATATCTAAAAGAAATAAAAAGATAGAGATAGAGATAGAGACAGGGATAGGGATAGGGATGGGGGCAGGGGCAAGAGAGAGAAAGAGAGGGAGGGAAGGAGGGAGGGAGGGAGAGAGAGAGAGAGAGAGAGAGAGAGAGAGAGAGACAGAGAGACAGAGAGACAGAGAGAGAGAGAGAGGGAGAGACAGAGAGAGAGAGAGAGAGAGAGAGAGACAGAGAGAGAGAGGGAGATTGGGAGAAAGGAAGGAGAAAAAAGGAAGGAAGGGATAAAAATCTTCTGCATCCATGAAACTAACTTTCTTACACTGACAATTAAAAACAGAAAATGAGTGATTTATCTAACTATTAGAAGATAATTGCTATTTTGGAAAATTATATTTAAGGTGGAGAACAGAAGTTCATGAAAGGAATAGATTAAAAGACAGAAAGCAAACTGGAAAAATCAGTGGGGAGTTTAAAGGGTGATCAAAGAGTAAATTTTAAGAAATTCTTCACTCTGCCTAGAGTCTCTTCTGTTTCTAACCTATTCCACAGGCTGCTGTCTTTTTAAGAACGATTCTCCTGATATTCACAAAACACGCATAAATAGTCTCTGCCAATAACTAGTTTACAATATGATACAGAAATAAGGGGACAAGAAAAAAAAAAACATCCCTGCAACTCTACAAATAGTCTCTACACAATAATTTTTAAAATTAAATTTTCCAACATCTAATTCTTATATTATTGATAAATGATTACTGTGGACATGAAAGTTTAAGACAGCATGGTGCAAACTACAATAGAAACAAAGAAATACAGCATATTTACCTTATTATCAAGAGTCGGTCACTTAGTCTATATACTTTATAAAGTTTTACTTCATAAGGTAAAATGGAAACTTTTATTAGAAAAATAGCCAATTGTTGCCAAGTTTATAAAATTGTCTTAATATATACATATTAATTTTTAAACATGTTCTAAATTTCAAAAATGTTGAATGTGTGTTTATACACACATATATTAATATATTATATAAGAAACATATTTATCATAAATAGAATTTTAAAAATTAATTTCTTATTTGAATCCAAACAGTTATTCTATAATTAAAACAAACACTAGACAACAGTTTAGTGGTTACCAGAGGGTGAGGGGGGAGGGAGATGGTAGATGAGGGTAAAAGGAATCAAGTATATGGTGATGGAAAGATAACTGACTCTGGGTGGTGAACACACAATGTGATATATAAATGATGTATTACAGAATTGTACACTTGAAACCCATGTAACTTTACTAACCATTGTCACTCCAATAAACTTTAAAAAACTAACAAACAAACAACAAACAAAACCCTACATATTCCTACATTATCTTTTGTTTGTTTTTTGTTTGTTTTTAGTTTAAGTAATAACATCTTATTAAAAGTTGGGTATTTATTCAGAGAGCAGTTAAGTTGGTACTTGCTTAGGGATACAAAGATTAATATAGCAGAATCCTTGCCCTGAGTGATTCACATCCTAGGGAGACTTTCACATTATATATTTCTATTGATTTAAATTTTTAAAAATGGAGATGACTCCCTATGGTGAAATCCTCATAGTACCTGGGTTGGAATGGGCTAGAAGAGAAATAAAATGAAGCTAGTCCTAGGTCAGCGGTTCTCAACCTATGGGTTGCGACCCCTTTGGGGGTCAAACGACCCTTTCACAGGGGTTGCCTAAGACCATCGGAAAACAAAAAGATATTTACATTACGATTCATAACAGTAGCAAAATTACAGTTATAGAGTAGCAACGAAAATAATTTTATGGTTGGGGGTCACCACAACATGAGGAACTGTATTAAGGGGTCGCGGCATTAGGAAGGTTGAGAACCGCTGTCCTAGGTGATAATAATCATTGTTTTATTTGCTTTAGAAGTTCATGTAACTGTAGAGAAATAAATGGCTTCTTGTCCTTCTGACTTGTAAACATGTTTCTACCTATAACTGGTTTGACCCTTAAAAAAAAAATACCCAGTCTCTTATCATTTTGTCATATAATTGGAAATACACATAATTTATTACTCTGGTATTAATATCGAAAAGCATTGAAATATATTTACCCATTATATGCTTCAGACACACCAGCAAATGGCTCATTTTCACAGTTGGCATAAACAAATACAAAACACAGCATAAGTGCAATTAAAGATGCGAGCCAAGCAAACTTCATTGTGTTTTTACATGTCATTTTGAATTTCGAAACAAGGACACCACCTAAAACCTGACCAAAAGCAGCTCCAGGAATTAAAACAGCCCCTAATGAGAAAGAAGACACAGACAGTGAGAAAACTTACAAATATACCCACTAACTCATACCAACAACTGAAAAATCAAAAACAAGCACCACATTGGTTTTAACATATGAAAGCACTTGTGATTTAGAAACATATAAATAAATGACTTTGTTATATTGAGATTAATAAAAATGTTTTAAACATTATGATTTATATATATATTCTCTTTAGCTATATAGCCTGTGCATAAGTTTGTAAAAGATTGTCTAATGTCAGAAAATCAGGAATGTTATATCAGTATAAAGTTTACATTTCAAGGAGTGTGCGATCTATAACTATATGCTATTCTAATAAACATTTAGTGTTGTACTGTAAAATTATTAATTATTAGATTAAGTTAGAACAAAGAAAATGTTTTACCTCCAAGGATAGCTGCAAAACTGGATGACAATCCAAACTGATTTTCTATAAATTTAGGTAAAAATGTAGCAAACCCAGTAGTAACTAAGGCTTCTGAAGAAGTTGATACAACTAAACACATAAAGACAGTATTCCTCATCAAATTCTAAAGAAAAAATACAGTTCACCAAATGAATAACTCTGATTATACAGCAAAATGCATCATTAGAATGGTAGCATGATGAAATGGCAAATTTTTAATAAACACCATATAATTATCCATAAAATTTCAGTTTTTCCAAATATGGATTATTAATCATTTTTTTATATGCAACATTGAGAAAATTTATCTGACAGATGATTCAACAGTAGGGTGGCTGTGCCTTTGTCATATGCAAGGCACCAGGAAAAAGAGGTAAAAACCCACTTGGAAAGCCTCCCTTCCCCAATCTTACTATAAATCTCCATACAATAAATCTACCCCTTATTTGATTTTTTTTACTGTGTCCTGAATGCCTATGTCCAGTAAATGAAGAACTTGACTATGAGCACAGATGAGGATGGTCTTTAGGTATCAAACGTTCCATGAGTAAGGAACTCAGTAGTTAAGAACCTTTGAGGGACGTAGTTAAGCAATTTTAAATAGATGTCTATATTGGGGGACGTCCAGAATCTTATGAATTTATCAGAGGGAGTATAGAGATTCATTATTTCAATACACTTAGCCATAAAGTGGAAACCAAAGTATAATTCTGGAATATTAAATGTCAAAAAACTTTGTAAAACCAAGCAAACCACACACACACCCAAGTCACAAAGGAGCAAGATGAGAGATTTAGAAGTCAAAGCCAGGTGATCTAAGATAGAGTTAACAAAAGTGACAAAAGAAGGATAAGTACCCCAAAAAAGACATGCAATAATTTTTTAAAAATAATAATAGTACAAAATGTTTAAGTCTTCAGATTGAAAGAGATAATGGATTCCTAGCAAGAATTAATGAAAAAAGATACATATTTAGGCATAACCTAGTAAATATCCTGATATCAAAGCTAAATAAAAAAATTTACAAATTTGCAGATGGAAAAAATAAGTAAGAATCACATTAGCATGGAACTTCTCAAGTGTAACATATTTAACTAGAAGAGAGCAAAACAATATCCACAGACTACTAGGATTAAAGGAGCATGATCCAAAAGTATTCATCTAGTCAGAAATATCATTCTGATATTCAAGGATACTTCAGTGGTATCCTATCTGAGGAAAACCATTGATAAAATGCTGAATCTACAGAAATCTGTATCAGAACTGAAATCTCAAAGCATGAGAACATAAGGATAAAAAAAGCAGTGGTGAGTAATGACTCCTGATACTAACATAAAGAAGAATTTTTAAAATAAATTAAATAGAAATATATGAAATAGAACAGAAATAGTATAACAGTATAAATAGCATGTAAATAGGAGAAATAAAATAATAGTAGTTAGAATTAAGAATTATGAACAATCTCAGCAAAACACAAAAACGTGCCTGTATGGGAGAGGAGGAGGAAGAGTTGAAAGGTGAGATGAAATGGAGTAAATACATTTTAAGACTCATTTAGGAGGAAAAAATTTAACAAAAAGTAAAAAGTTTCAAATCTTGAAAAGCTAAAATTATAATCTCCTTCATGTACAAAACTTTTATGATGCTAAATAGACAGAATGCTTTTCTGCTGAGTTCAATAGAATAGAACATAACACTTTTGTTTCTTTAATCTCAAATTCAAAGCAAGTGACTACTAACCACCATTTCTTTTGCAAGGGAACAATATTGGTTGGGCATCCTCAAATATATATTTACAACTCAGTGATAATTAATCAATCCATTACACAAGGGAAATGGCATGGAATAGTGGCTATAGTTCTAATGAGGAAACTTGAATATTGATATTGCAATAACTCATGTTCTTTCAACCATTCCACTCTAACATAGTTTTCATTTCATCAAAGTGCAATAAAATTAAAGCTTAAGAGTTGTTTACAATAGCTCGAATAATACTAAATAAAAAAACAAGAGTACATTATGAAAATACTTGTATGTGTCTGTATATATGTATGTTATACATATATCTACGTATATATGTGGGGGGTATAAACAGTGTTATTTTACCTTTAGAGCTGCTGGAAAATCTTTAAAACTTTTTCCAAAATTCTCATCTGTGTACTGTAAGGAACTATTATTCTGATGAGTCTGGGAAGTTTTTCCTTCTTGAATTTTTGCTGTACCTAAAAAAATCATAAATGTACTTGCTTTATCATTTCATCCTTCAATTTTTAAAATGCTTACTTTTCAACTGACACACACTTTTACAAGTATATAAATTCTATAACATAAGAAGCCAGTTCCTCTCTTTGTCAACAAAATCGTACCAATATCTATGTCTGTAATCTGGCAGTCCTAGAGCTAATGTTATTGCCATTAACTAAGAAAGTTTCAACCAGTCTAAAAATTAAGATGGAGACAATTTTGTTCCAATCACATACTTAGTCTCTTTATTTGAAATCTCTTAAATATTTTCCTTCCTTTCAGATGGTTCTCTATTTCATCCTTTATAAACAGAGTATGTTTGAGGCCTTTTTCCTTTATTCTCTTGAATTCTAATACAGTTTGTAGATGAAATAATATTTACCATCTATTACCAGGTCCTTTTGATTTTTAATAATAGTACTGTGAACAAATATGAGAAAACAGTCAATATATGGAATCATAAGGTGGATGGCCCAGGGTAGAAAGAATGGTTCCACATACTTCTATTCTGCCAACTTTTCTCTTGCCCATTTCTAAAAGTTAGTTATCTATTCTGTTTCATATAATAGAAACATCTAAATACCTTGAGCCTAGAGAAACATACTTCTATAGCTATCTCTTTGAACTACATGATTATACAGAAGCAAAATCTCACAGACAAAGAAATGGATATTCTTTTCCATTAATCTTTTCTTTTTTGGACAGACTGTCTAGTATTAGACTATGATGAAAAATGAGTGTGTTACAGCATGACTTTGGTGACAATTCAAAAGGAAATACTTGTACTTTCAGTAACAAATAATTAACATCAATGATTTAAGACAGATTGGCTCTTGAAGTGAGTGATTAACTGAATGCAAACTAATAATTTAAAATATACTGTATAGGGCTGGCCAAGTGGCACGTTGGTTAAGAGCTGGCTTGGGACTCCAGAGCGCCCCGGTTCGGATCCCACATATGAGGGCCAGTGACACTGCCCTCTACAACTAAGATGCTGAACAACAGCTCAACCTAGAGCTGGGCTGCGGTGAGTTGCCGGCAACAGAGTAGGCTGCAGCTCCTGCTGCAGTGGGTTGCCATGGGCTACCGTGAGTAGCCAGCAGCCAGTGTGAGTGGCCAGCAGCCACCGTGAGCGGCTGTCCAGAAGCCAGCGACTGATCTGCCTTACCCGGGAAAAGCGCAATGATGGTGCCAACTTGGGCCAGTGAAGCGACGACCTCCACAACTAGACTGAAGAACAAAAGGACAGCAACTTGTCTGTTCCCCTTCCCCCAATTCCCCAGCGCTGTTCCTATCCCCCAATTCCCCTCATTAAAAAAATAAAAATAAAAATAAAATAAAATATACTGTATATTACATATATACATGAAGCAGGATTCCATATAACACACAAGAAAGAAGTTTAGTAAGTATATAGTAAGGATATCAATACATACATTTTTATTGATAATTAATTGAAAATAAAGGAAAACCATGAATATTAATATTGCTACCCAATATTTCCTAAAATAAAGACAGATATTCAAAAGTTTCCATAGGCTGAGATTCTATAAAACAATGAATTTTCTAGCATTCTCATCAATCATACAGAAAGCAATACTTGGCCTAGAATTGGAATAAAACTTGGTTTTAAAGTGAAGGGACCCCGGCTCGGACCCTAGGCAGGACAGATTCACTTTTTAAAAATCATACTTCGGCTACTCCAGCTAGACTCTAAGCAGAACTTCCCGTTAAGACAGTAAAACACCTAGCTTTACAAGAAGTGGGTTGCAACAGAAATATTAAGAATGTTTTGCAGAAGTAGTTTTGTCACAACTGGCTTAGACCATTTCACAGGAACTAACAGCTCTTTTTGCTTCTGTACACCTGCTTTGCTTCTGCTGGGGAATAAAAGGTTAAAGAAAAACATTCCTGGGCCGGCCAAGTGGTGCGATGGTTAAGAACTGGCTTGGGATGCCAGAGGGCCCTGGTTTGGATCCCACATATGAGGGCCAGTGACACTGCCCTCTACAGCTAAGATGCTGAACAACAGCTCAACCTGGAGCTGGGCTGCCGAGAGTTGCCGGCTACGGTGTAGGCTGCAGCCCCTGTGGCAGTGGGTTGACATGGGCTACCGTATGTAGCCAGCAGCCAGCGTAGGTGGCCAGCAGCCCCCGTAAGGGGCTGTCCAGAAGCCGGCAACTGATCTGCCTCACCCGGGAAGAGCGCAATGATGGTGCCAACTTGGGCCAGTGAAGCAACGTCCTCCACAACTAGACTGAAGAAACAAAACGACAGCAACTTGTCTGTTCTCCTTCCCCCAATTCCCCAGCACTGTTCCCATCCCCCCAATTCCCCAATAAAAATCTTTAAAAAAAACCAAAAACATTCCTCAGTTCCCCTTTCCTCCCCCGCCTCTATCTTAACATTTCAAGAGGCCTTGCAACAGTTACCCTTGGTATCTCTACCCCCGTTCTTAGTTTCTAAAATTAATTACATACATATTTCTAAGAAACAGTTTGTGCGGTCAACTCAACCCGGTCACAATATACTGTTAAGACACCTGGACATAACAACACTGTTGCAACAGCGGGATGCGGTTTTAACGAAAATAACTACACATTCTTTTTAGCTTCTGTAATTTACTTTGCATACAGCCCTATCTTATAAAAACCTTACCACCCCGAGTCTTGGGGCCATTTTTCCTTAGTCAGAGAGACAGTCGCTGAGCTCAGCTTAATAAAATCTTCGGAACCTTAATTTGACATCCAGCCTCTTTATTGATTGTCTGGACCCAACAAAAGAAAAGATGTTTACCTGGTAAATGTTTTGGAAAGCAGGAAAAAGGTATTATCAAAGACCAAGCAATGAGCCAAGTCAGAATAAATCCGATCCACCATGCCCCCAGCCATCGCGGGTCCTCCTCAGTGATATCAGTGCTATATGACAGGAAAACAAAAGGTCAAAGTCAACTCTATCTTGTTAATTACAACTCAAGGGCATATATAGAGGAATATTATTATAATATCCCAAATTTTAAGTGGAGCCATTGTGATGAATCAAACAATGGATAGCAGGCATAAACGAGAGCTATAAGAATAATGGTTTGCAAAGTATTTCAAAATGGCAAATATGGAATGCAAGTTTAAAATATTTAAGAGTAAATATAAGTATGCTGAATATTTTAAATCATACATAGAATTTCTGAACATTCTTTAACTTTGACTAAGTGTTTCTTCTTTACTATATTAAATACATCTCACAGAAAATCATTGATCTATGATAAAAGCCCATACGCTGTCCTTCAATTCATTTAAATGTAAAATTCTTCTTAAAGTAATTTATTGTTTTTTATAATGGTTTTCAAATTTTTATATCAAATGCTCTTTCCAAAAAACACTCCACCCCTACAACTTATGTAATTCTCCACTGAAATTAAAATGTCCTCTCTTAAAAATCCAGCTATCTATTTCAAGGGCTTCCTCTGCACATCTTTTCATAGAGTCTCTAGAAGATTAACCTATGACTAACAGCTCAAAGGACAAATCAAATACCCTTGATTATATCTTCACTGCTCACAGTTATGCAATGACTGTGTAGTTACTACACAAGCATTGCGTAGTTAGGATTCCCAGTGGAAAGAAGGAGAAAAATATGGCTTTACCAAAAGTTAATAACATCTCGATTCAAGAAAAGGAGAAGGTAATTCAGTGGTTAAGAGGGGGGCTTTGCAGTCAAAAAAATCTACGTTGATTTATGCCTTTGCCACTTATCCAGCTGTGTGCATCAACTACCTTATAGAATTACTAGGAAGATTAAATAAAAATGGCATGTAAAATAAGGTAACACAATAATCCTATGCTGTCTAGAACACAGTATGGGGTAAATAAACATTACTTGTTACTATCCTTCATTGTCGCAGTTGTTAAAACCGCACGATTGTGATCTCTATCACATTCTCAGAGCTACTACAGAACTTAGTCTGAAAATCATAGACTCATGAGACTCTTCAAGCTATCTCCCTCCAGCTAAATCTACTCAAAGCATAACTAATTTACATTAAATTCTTCTTTTGAACAATGTATGGGGTCCTATATATGTATATTTTGAAAAATTTCACCAGACGACTATTAATCATCCTTATTTATGAGTAAGTACATTATACTAAGAGATGGTATGACATTAATTCATGACATAAGGCTGCCAAAATGTTATATAAAAATTGTATGTATTCAATTTTGTTTCCTGAAAATTCCCTCACACTCTACTGAGGACATACTGTGAAAATGTTCTGTCTGTGATGTAAACATTACTTAAGTGAAATATATTTAAATAAAATAAAATAGATATTGCCTTGCCTTTGCCCCAAACCAACATCAATGTACATGGTTAACAGCTGTCCTCCCAACAAATAGCCAACAGCAGGGCCTAACACTGACACAGCATAACCAATTCCTAGAAAAAGAACAAAGACATGGAAAATGGTCATCTGTACATGTCTAACAATAGTGAAGAAAGATAAATATTTTACTGTAGAAAAATAAAAATTATTAAAATTACATGAAAAATACACATATTTTTCACCAAAAAAATAGCATTTGAATGGTATTGCTTGTAAAGTCCAAGAGCATAAAATATATAATTTAATGTAAAAGTTGTTAGACTTTAATAATAATTGCAATAAATCCAAAAATTATAAATCCATGGAAAGTTATATCATGTTAACTGGCAGCAAGGGTAGTATGTCTACTATTATATTAGCCTTTATGAATGGTGATAATAATTATTGTTCAGAATTCTTAAAAAAGTAAACAATGCGGAATGATAAGCCTTTTGCATGCTGTACATACTCTGAAAGCATTCTTTATTTTTCACTACAACAGCTGATAAAAACCTAAATCTGCTCATTAGTTTGTTTCTTAAAAGTAAGTGATTAATTTAAACACGTGCTCTTAGTGAATCTCACATCTTTACTTGCAGCAGAATTAAACTGACCTTATTTCTCTCAGATATTTAAAAATGTACCATATATAACTTTTTAATTTTTGCAAATTAAGCCCTCACCAGACTCTGAACTTGTGGGCACTGTGATCTTGGATTCACAGGACTGTAAAAAATAAATTTCTGTTTTTTACAAGCCAATCAAATCTATGGTGTTCTGTTAAAGCAGCCTGAACGGACTAATACAGTAGTCTTGTTAGCGCTGCTTTGCAAGGAACATGAGGGAAGGAATTTAAGAGAAACTTAGATACCAAAAATGAGGTCACAGAAGAAAAAAAGTCGAGTCATATATCAAAAAGGTTAGTCTGAGATGGAAAGTTCCATAGAGTTTCTAGGTACTATCTTGTGGTTTCTTTTGTTGACTCTAGTCGAGTAGGATGTAGAATCACACAGAATGGTACAGCTCAATCTCCACACTCTGTGTAAGTTAGCCTGGAATTCAAGCAATCTAAACAGTCTACTGGTTGGATAGCACTTTCTGGAAGGCTGGCATGCCCAGAACAGGAAACAGAGCATGTCAACATAACCTTTAACTGAATTCAACTAAAGGACATGATATGTCAGTAAGTAATTAAACAAAAAAGTAATACTGCATTTATCTCATGGAAACACCAATGAAATTGCAACGAACTTTTTAATAAACATGGTATGCTTTACTTATAAATAAAACAAGAAATGAGATGAAATGATATTGAGACATTTATATTACAGAGCAAACTTACCTATGTAGAGAGAAGATTTATGTGTGGGCACAGAATCATCAATAAAGGCTGTTCCCAGGATATAGAGAGGAGTTCCTCCTGCTCCCAGCAATAGTTGTCCCAAGATGAAGACATACAAGTAATTAGAAAGTGAAGAACTTGAAGAAGTACAACTGGTTGTATTCTGTGTTGTGAAGCAAGTATCTTTTGGTGTGTGGGGGGGAAATAAAATTGCAAATATTTATAAATTTAGGTAATAATTTAAATATTTAACTTTACAAATTATACTTGCCTAACATAACCTTTATTTCTTTCAGTTACTTCACTTTGATTATATTTAACTATTTTAAAATACATACATTACTAAAGATAACTTATGAAATATTACCATGTTAAAATCTAGATAATATACCATGAAACAGAAAAACAATACTTTAAGAATCAAAATGAACAAGTTTTCAGGTAAGTTAATATAAACACAGTTAGAGCAAGTGGAGCTAGGAAAGAATAGTATTTAGAATAAGTGAATAAAAGAAAACTAGTCTTTATTTTTAGACAAGTCATAAACACAATATGACCGCTATAGTGAATTTATCAATCAACATCTTAAACAGATTAGAAAAGTGTACTTGGGTTATAAGATATATTGGCTAAAACAGTAACTTTCAATATTTACCACAAAGCAGTAATATTGGAAGCCTTGTCTAGTTTTTTACAACTCACACTATTTTATTAATGTTAGTTTTTTGAAGCAATCTATGAGTCATAGGATATTCTTTTGAATATCAAAGGAAAAATAGTTCTCTTTAAAATTTGATTAAAATCTTCTTAAAAATGAGATTAATATGCTAAGTATTACAGTAAATCCATATTTCCTAAACTCATCTGATAATGTTAAAGAACAAAGATACTTGGTAACAATATATTCCCAGCCCTTTCCCTTTGAATCCGGTGTAGTATCCAGGAATTTGCATTTTAACAATGGCCTCAGCTAATTCTATTTCATTTCCTTAATATCAGATCAAGACTCATTATTTCTTGACTGATGAAATAAGAAAAGCCCCCAAAGCACCAATCCTGAAGATTCTTTAACTGGTTCATGGCCATCAAATTTTCAGATGAAAATTTTATGCATAAAATATGTAAATTTAAAATATACCTTATAATATTGCATATATTCATGTAAGAAATTGATAACTATTTTGGCAGATAATTTGTATTTATAACTGGGCTAGGTCTGCATTATTTATGTTACCTACCTGGCCATGTCAGACATTTGAATTGTAATTCCTGGTTTCAATATTCAATTTTCTGTAGATAGTAAATTAAACTAACAATCTCATTATTTGATTCATTGCAAAACTGAATGTACATGTATTTCTTAGCTGATTATTTTTCCTATTTCTTTCTTTCAATGGGTAAATTGCTTTTTTTTAATGAGAGGTAAGTACATTTTTGTAGTAATCTAGTAGACATTTTGATTATATGAGTATTCTGTTGGGTTTTGGTGTGCTTTTGTTGTTTTTTCCCAGAAGATAATCCATGAGGTTTCAACATGCTTCTTTAAATAAATTTTAAATAGCACAGAAGAATATCAAGAGAAAACAAAGCTCTCCCTTACCCCTGCCTGCCTCCAATTTATGCTCTCCCATGTAACTTAGAGGTAATAATCCATTAATAGTTCCTTTTATCATTTTTCAGACATGCTTCTCACACATTCACATGTTTTATATCCATTTACATTTTTTACGCAAGTATGCTCATACGAAACATACTATTCTTATATTCAACAGCTTCCAGTTTTCACTTATAATATTCTGGACATCTTTGATGTTGGAACTTGAAGCTGTACTTAAATTTCTTTGTTGGCGTTATTATATTATTCCACAGAATAAACATCCTATGATTTATTTACCTAGCCCACAATTTATATTTAATAATTAGTAATATGACATATGAAACTATTTTATATGATAGTTTAATTGTGGATACATAGCACTATGCATTTGTCCAAATCCGTTGAATTTTACAGTACAAAGAGTGAAATTGAATGTATACAATTTTTGTAAAAATCACTTAAGAGGTCACAAGATTCCAGGATTAAATGCAGAACATGACAAAAGGATCTAATTGGAATACAAATTAGAATACAAATTGGAATACAAAATACTAAAGACATGGCAGTAAGGGAGCAGATATAAGTAACTTTGGAAATGAGTGGAGTCTGCAAGACTGCAGGCAAAAGGAACTGCACATAATCACTGTATTCTAGATAATAAAGTAATTTCCCATTCTCTAATTCAAAGGCCTCTTGGAGAAATGGTTGATTCTAGGACTGGGGCAGGAAATATACAGGATGAGCCTGAGTCATTTCATACTGCCAGAAAGTAAGGAATTGATCAAAACAAACAAAAAACCCAATTATGGAGGTGTATCAAAGGTACACAGGAGCCAACTGAAGGGACTGGTAGCCAAAGATGGAACAATTTGAGCAAGAAAATAAATTATCATTGGATCATAAGCCAAAGTATAAAATATATATCTATCCAATACATTGAAAAATAATTGAATGAATAAAAAAAGACAAATCTCTCATACAGAATAATTTCCACTAATTTATGTAGATACTCTACCCTCAAAGAGCTGGAGCATAACACCCCACTTCTAAAGTGTGGGTACCCATAGTGACTTTTTTCCAAAGAGTATAATATGGAAAGTGGGAACAAAAAGAGTGGCTTCACACTGGATTAACCTGAAAAACACTACCTCAGCCAGGTGGTCAAGGTCGTCATCAAGATAAATGATGTTGATAACGTATACTCTTGAGCTCATGTAATGAAAATGGCATTTTGCCTGTGTGGTCCTCCTACAGAAAACTCATAACCCCAGTCCAACCATAGGAAAAACATCAGACAAATCCCAATTAAGGGACATTCTACAAAACATCTGACCAGCACGCCTTAAAGAACTGCCAAGGTCAGGCTGGCCAAGTGGCTCATTGGTTAACGGTTGGCTTGGGGTGCCAGCTCTGAGCAGCAGGGCTCCGGTTCGGATCCCACATGAGGACCAGTGACACTGCCCTCTACAGCTAAGATGGTGAACAACAGCTCAACCTGGAGCTAGGCTGCCATGAGTCGCAGGCGATGGTGTAGGCTACAGCCCCTGCTGCAGTAAACTACCGAGAGTGGCCAACAGCCAGCGTGAGTAACCGAGAGCCGGCGTGAGCTGCCGTGAGCTGCATTGAGCAGCCATCCAGTGGCCGGTGAGCAACTGCCTAAGCCAGGAAGAACGCAATGATCACAATACCAACATGAGCCAGTGAAGCAACATCTTCCACAACTAGATTGAAGAACAAAAGGACAGCAACTTGTCTGTTCCTCTTCCTCCAATTCCCCAGCACTGTTCTCATCCCCCAATTCCACAATAAAAATCTTAAAAAAAAAATTACTACATTGCCAAACTTTAAAAAAAAGTAAGGAAAACAATTGTTTCTTAAAATCGAAAGTTGTAAAACAGGGATTTTATAAGCTCATAAATGTGGTGAGATTAGAGAAGGGAAAAAATAGGCTGAAAGAACTCAGGAAAGACATGAAATAAAAAAGAAACTACCACAGAAATAAAAGTCATGGTGGAATGGAGAGACTAGAGCCCATGAGAATTACAAGGACAGACAAAACAGTCTTCAGAAATATGAATGCAATTAAATGAACAAAAACTAAGACTGAAAAGATTAGAGAGAAAATTTGAGAAGTGATATCCAAAGGAAATCAAACATGTGTATAATCAATCAAAATAGAAAAAAATACATATATATTCAAAAGTAAAACTTAGGAAACCTTCCTGAAGTAAATGAAGACAGAGCTACAATTTTAAAATGCATAGAGCATCCCAGAAAAATGTGTTACAGGACTCTAAACTCTAAAGATATTCCCTTGTAAAGTTACTTCTTTGAACAGTCAGGAAACAAAAAATAGTCACATTATGCAGAAAGAAATGAAAAACACTTAGCTGGCATCAGACTTCTCTGCAGCAACATCTATCCCATAAAGACAGTAAAAGAATGACAAAAAGTAACCAGTGAAAGATAATGTGACTCACAAATTTTACGCTCCAACTGCCATTTAAACATACAGTCAGAAGACAAATATTTAAACATATTTAAAATGTCATGGAGTTAACCTTTTCTAGGAAAAAAAAAAACTACTAGAGAGTATATTTCAGAGATGCCATGGGGAATTGAAGAAGACCATTCATCCTAAGTAATATTAAATAATTTATTAAATTGCATCTGTTAAAAATAGCTTTATAAAAGAGCTAGATTTACTTGAGAATTCTGTGATATTATTAATTGAGGAAACTTGTGAACCTAGAATTTCAACTTCTAATGGAACATACAAAAATTTCTCTTTGTGAGGTATATAAATGTCTAATCACTATGTTGTTTTGTACACCTAAAACTAATAAAAGTAAAATCCTTTAAAAAAGAGTGAAAAGGCAAAAAAAAAATCTGACAAAATCCTTTCAACACTAATTTAAAAGCATGTGATTTGAGAATACACCACAAGAGGGAGCTCCTATGTTGTTTATGAACATGGAGAGTTGCTAATAAAATTAAGGCTTAGATTTTCACTTAATGGAAAAACCTGTGTCCAGTCCTACCTACTAACATGTGCAGGAACTAAGGGCAAAGGGCAAAGTAAAATCCAGAATAACATACCAGAATGTTTAGAAGTATCAATCCTTACCCTGCCCAGAGATTGGCAGCCTGCTCCTCTCCAGGCATTACCTTAAAAACCTGGAATTTAAAACGGACTATGTTTTCCTCTGGGTCCATCCTGCTGCCAGGGCTAGGATAGGATGCAACAATCTGTGATGGGACTCCGTGCCCCCAGCCATTTTTCTGACAGTATTTCCAGGAGGTTCCCTGGCCTTTTGAGAAGCAGCATAGTTTTCTGGGAACCAGGTCTGCCTAATTACCTGCATCAGTTACTTTGAGGAGGCTAAGTTTAATCAAAAGCAGCCTCTCTTTCCCCCTTCCCAGGAAGTAATTTTTCTCCCCTGGTTCTACTTCCCATTTCCTAGCCACTGCTCTGAAGGAAAAAGCGTTGTTGCTTTTGTTTAAACTTGACCATTCCCATATTTAAACAGCTTCTTCTAGTCTGAAGAGAGTAGTTCATCCCTATATCCCTCTCCTATAACCTCTC